CCTGTCTGTCTCTCTCTCTACATGAGTCTGTCTCTCTTTTTCTAAATCCGCCATATTCGTCCGGTTCGATCGCCATTCCAATTAGTCTTCATCGCCTAGGATCACGCGCGAATAAATCACCCGCGAGAGAGAACGATCGGTCAGCTTACACAGAACAGAGAGAAAAGAAGAACGACGAAACGCGAGCGATCGGCAAGATCGATCGATCGAAAGTGACTTTTACACGCGACTCTTGTTCCTTGATTCGCGATCGCTTCCCCGCTCGGTCCTCCTCGCTCGAGGAAGGAACCAGCCCCGTGCCGAATAACGCGCGTCAGCTGGAATATTTCCAGGAGGGAGCTGCTCGCTCTATTGATTTTTATTTCCGCTTTCGCCGGAGACCGATGTGCCGGAATATAGCGTCTCCTCGTGCCGCGGTCGATGTAAGCCGGTCTCGAAGGTCCTCGTTATCCTCGGATCTTCTCGCGATTGTGAACCGATCGATCTCTCTTCCGCCTCTCAGAAGTGACGCAGGGATTCGCGAAGTCGTGGAAGAGAGGAAAGAGCCGTCGAAATGAAACATCGGGGAGATTTCGTCTTCCTCTGCGACGCTGAAATCCCCCTCCCGCGATTAACTTTAAAGGATGCGAAATAATTTATCAGTTAATCTTTTTACGCGCGCGCGGACGAACGTCAGCGCGAGTTTGACCGGGATATGTCGGTTTCGAGCGCCGCGGGGCACACGCCAGGGTTTTGTATAAATTATTTCTCACGCTGTGCCCGGATCGGGGATCCGGGGAAATCGTCCTTGGATCGTCGACGTCGCTCGCCGGAGGGGCCTCGAAAAGGACAAGCCCGCCGGCGACATCCTTCCGCCGTATCCTGACGAAGGACGCGAGGGAAAGGGTCCGTGGGATGTATGATTCCATTCTCCCCGGGGGTCTCATCCCCTGGGGCCTCTTGGGCCCACATCTAGCTACTTTTTAGCTGTACAACACAAGCACCGTTACAACGTAAGTAGATATGTAAAAAGAGAGAGAGAGAGAGAGAGAGAGAGAGAGAGAAGAGAGGAGAGAAGAGAGGAGAGAGAGAGAGAGAGTAGAGAG